CTCTCGGTGAGACTGGGAGCCTTTGTTCTTGAATCTTGAGCAGTTTCATGTGCTCTCAGCCTCTTTGGACCAGCTGCTCAGCCTGGGTGAGTGGATCATGTAGTTGGTGGAAAACCTTCTTTTCTTCTGGATTCTCTGCTTCTTTGTTTCCTCCTTCACAGCCTTCCTTTGACCCCACTGGTGCTATTGCCTCCTGCCCTATGTGCTGAAAATTTTTCGTTTAGGCCTCTAGTAAAACAATCAGCCTTTTAGTGCTATGAAGTTTCATTGATTAGTGGGGTTTGGAGAAGGCAGATGGGTGTTCTGAGGAAGGGCTAGTGGGAGGGCACCGAGAAATGAGACTCTCATGATTAGGTCTCTTGGTGGAGCATCTGCGACCAGTCATTATCCCACTGTTACCTTAGTTTAGTGGGTAACAGTTATTCAGGTAAGAAGATGATGAGGGAGGGAAATATAAAAGAAAAAAGAAACTCATCTCACTACAAATAGTTCTTAGCTTATTCAACTGTATCCTGTGGATTAATGGGCAAAATCCTTAGTAAGATATTCAAGAACCTTTGGAACCTAGCCTTTTTATTTCCCTCTTCTCCTGAACATATACTAGACTTTGAGTAACACTGGATCTCCTGAAGCCCACTCAGGGAAACCCTTCAAAGTGCATGAAAGAGACAAAGAAGTGTGGATAAAGATGACGAAGAAGGCATGATGGTAACTCTGTGCTTGTTTTCAGGTCACGATGTCAGCAGTCTGATCAGGTGGTGGTCTGAGAGATAGAGAGCTGTATATCCATAAGATTTTTCTTTATCCACTTGGGAAAAACTTAAATTTTCGATGATTGCAATATCCTCTTTGATAAATTTTCATGTTCTGTGTCTTCCATAGAATGCCTACAGCAGGAGATACCTTTTTTTGGTATGCTTAATGTAATCTATATGTCACCATTCATGACAGTGCCTATCAGAGTAAGTAGATCTAAGTGTTGGGGAAAAAACCCCAAATATTAGTGGTTTAAAACAATAAAGTATATTTTTCACTCACATCACCATCCAATCAAAGTTAGTGGGTGGTGGGGAGAGCTTCATTCGATGAAGTCAATCAAGGACGTAGACATTTCTCCCATCTTGCCATATTGTGAGCTGTAGCAATGGTTAGCATGGTCTAGTCTGAGGTTGCCAAGGAATGGAAAGAGGGAGAGAGTGGGGTGAAGGCTCACCTGTTGTTGGTTGCCTAGATGCAGAAGTGAAACTCTACTCTACTCAAATTCCATTGGTCAGAACTGGCCATATGACCTTACCTAGATGCAAGGAGAGTGAATGGGCAAAGCAGTTTAGCCTTGTGCCCAGGGAGAGGAATTGAGGTTTCATTAGTATCCATGATGTTTTTGAAATGTCACTTTCTCTCTGAAGCAAGTGCCTAGAACTGCACCTGTTATATGGTAGGCACTCAGAAATGTTTGATGAGCAAATACATGAAATGAATGAATAGGTGTAGGCTTCTGCTGTTATGTTCTGCTAAGGCAGAAAATTGGAGGGAAATAATTCTGAGAGAAGAAAAATTTGTCTGCTATCCCCGATGTATTCATGACCATTTATTTGTAAAATTATCTCACAAGCACTCTAGGAATTCATATTCTTTTGAAGTTATGTTTTCATTTATTCAACAAAGCATTGAGTGCCTTCTATGTCAAGTGCTATGCTGTGTGCTCAGGAAATAGAGGTGGAAGTCATCATTCCTCCCCATTGGTAACTCACTTGGAATGCATCTAGAGGAAAGTAGGAAAAGACGCCAGTCATTACAGCCATTATGTAGGCGCCATGATAGAAATACAGAGGGACTGTGGTGGTTGTGCTGAGAAATGGCACCTAATTGAGTCCGGAATGGGTGTTGTGGGGTTTCATTGTCTCGAAGAGGTGGTATTTTGGTTGGATGAGCATGAATTTGCTAGTTGATACCCATAAGAGAACGGTAGAAGGAATGGTATTCAACAGTTTAGGGAACTGCAGTTCCTTCAGTAGGTCAGAAAGGGGTGATGGAAGCCACGTGCAGTGGCTGACACCTTTAATCCCAGCACTTTGGGAGACTGAGGTGGGCGAATCACAAGGTCAGGAGTTCAAGACAAGTCTGGCCAGTATAGTCAAACCCCCTACCAACTGAAAATACAAAAAATTAGCCAGATGTGGTGGTGTGTGCCTGTAATCCCAGCTACTTGGGAGGCTGGGGCAGGAGAATCGCATGAACCCAGGAGGTGGAGGTTGCAGTGAGTGAAGATCGCACCATTGTACGCCAGCCTAGGTGAGAGTGCAAGACTCCGCCTCAAAAAAAAAAAAAAAAAAAAGAAAGAAAGAAGAGGGGTGATGGAAATACTGGGAGCTAAGGCCAGAGAGGTAGGTCTGGGCTGAATCACAAAGCATGTGTGTAAACTGCATTAAATAAAGAATAAATAGGGGTTAAGATTAGGAATTACATGATTTGTCTTCATCAAATGAAAGAATTGATACACACAGTAATATCTAAGCAACCACGTTATCTGTATCGACCAGTCTATTTTTCTCCTTAGATCAGCCTCAAATAATATAAAATTGTTAAATTAAAAAACAAACGAAACCCATTCATATTATTTTGAGGACGATCCTTTTGCGGGAAGAGGTTAGAAATAAGAGCACAAAGAAAGGTGTACAGTATCCTCCATTCATGTAGCCTTGCCTCTGAGATAGAACAGGAAGGAAGCCTATTTCAAGGAAAACAAAGGAATTGGATCCCTGATTTTATAAGAACTGTATCCATCAATAGAGTGAATTCTTCTAGGAAAGTGTTTTAAGGTGGACTAGGGAAGAAAACTAGGAACAATTCAGGGAGCTCCTGTTCTTGGTATTTCTGCATCAGCGAAGTGGTTGTTAAAGTTGTTCATTTAAGGAAGTATCAGTTCAGTTAATTAGTAGTTAGCATTCATTCCTCCTTCATTCATTCAGCACATTTCAATGACACTTTTGTGCCCTGCATTAAGTCAGGTGTTGGGAGGAAGTAAAATATTGGAAAAATAATGGTTTTGCCTTTGAGAAGATTCAACTAACACATGATTCTAGTGATTTCTAACCAAGGATGTGCTCTCCTTAGACATCAAGGGAGGCTGGGCACTGTGGCTCATGCCTGTAATTCCAGCACTTAGGGAGGCTGAGGTGCAAGGATTACTTGAAGCCAGGAATTTTAGACCAGCCTGGGCAGCAAAGCATGACCATGTCTCTATAAAAAACTTAAAAAATTTAGCCAGGCATGGTGGCCCCTGTAATCCCTTCACACTTGGGAGGTTGAAGTGGGAGGATGGCTGGAGACAGCAGTGACCTATGATCGTGCCACTGCAATCCAGTCTGGGCAACCATTGAGAACCTGGGGAAAAAAAAGGAACAAATGGGCGGGGGTTGGGGAGAGAAAGAAAGAATAAAGAATATTAGTCTAAAAGGCCTTGGAGTTCAAAATTCAGATTCAGATCTTGATTCTGTGTCTCTGTGTTTGGGCAACCACTAACTGGTTGTCTGACCTTTAAATATTTTCAGCTGCAAAATGAGATAATAACAGCTATATCACAATTGCCAGGATTCAATGAGATGACTCATGAAAGCTTTGTGTAAACAGTGCAGAACTTTGCAAACATTGGTGATATGTTATTAAAAGTGGATGTACTAGGACTTGAAAGCAGTGTTTTTCAAAGTGTTTGTTGAAACACTAATGCCCAAGATTGGAAATGGGCATTTCTCAAGAAAAGAGTTCTATGGTCAAACACATTTGGGAGATGCAGGATCAAAGAAAGTAAAACTCGGTCTCAGGTCTGTAAAATGCTAGTGTGCATTGTGAATCTCAAGGAAAGCAAGTATTTTGTGTCTCTTTCCCCCAAATTAATGTTATCTTGGGATCTACCCCCATTCTCACTCCATCATCTCTAGGACCTTTAGATGGACAGAACTCACTTTGGGAAAGACTGCTCTCCAGGAAGGAAAGTATTAAACTTCATTTCAATTTTACAATCCCACCATCCAGGCCGGTTCCACGCCTGTAATCCCAGCCCTGTGGGAGGCGGAGCACTTTGGGAGGCAGAGGTGGGAGGATCACGTGAGTCCAGGAGTTCAAGACTAGCCTGGGCCACATAATGAGACCTCGTCTCTACAAAATATTTAAAAAATTAGCCTGGCATGCTGGCTTGCGCCTGTATTCCCAGCTGCTTGCGGGCGGTGGGGGTGGGGGTGGAGGTGGGGTGCTGAGATGGGAGGATCACTTCAGCCCAGAAGGTCGAGGCTGCCCTGAGCCATGAACACGCCACTGCATTCCACCCCGGGAGACCCTGTGTTAAAACAAAACAAACAAAAAGTGCTGAGCCATTCATCATCAGACAATCTGGGAAAGTCATTCAACAACTTTCCAGGCAGCCTTGAGATGCCCACCAACGAAGGCAAGAGAAAAGGGCCAGGTCCCCGCTTTTCCAGGGTTAGAGAGAGGATTCCCTCATAGAATCGAGGGTGCCAGGTGCTGTGGTTGATACTTTTAATATTCCTTCCAAGACACCCATTGATGACAAGGCAGTAGCAGATAGGAAGCGACAAAAGTGAAGAGAGCAGGGCTGATTCTCAACTTTATAAGTTAGATTTTTATAAAAACTCTGAAAGTCAGGTAACAACACTACTACTCCGCTTCTAAGAAAAGTGTGCAGAAACATCTGCCAGAAAGACTGTTGCTGCCTCCCCAGGTCAGAGAAGTTTCATAGGCCAATAGCTTCCCCTCCATCCCCCTCCTACCGCTGGTCTCCCTTCTGCTCCCACGACACACCTCGTGCCTGGCCGCATTTTACCCCTTCCCAGGAAGTGGCTGCCAGGAGCGGAGTCGCGAAGGACGCAGGCGCAGTGCCGCTCAGGTACGCGGGAGGCCCCGCCCTGCCCCGCCTGGCCCCGCCCCACTGGCCTCGCCCCTTCGCGCCTGTCCCGAGGGGCGGGGCTGCCCTGGTGGGCGGCGTGGGAGTGGGGACAGGGAGGGCAGTGGAGGGGACTGGGTGTCAGGGTAGGGGAGGCCTTGGGGAGGGCGGGGCCTCGAGGCGCGGCCGCGCGAGGTGACCCGAGTCACAGTGCCCGCGGGCGGCGACGGCAGAGCGCCCATTACCTCCAGCAGGTAACCGGCCGCGGTCACGCGGCGCCGCCTCAGCGCGGGGGTGGGCGTGGAGACCCCGCGGAGGGCGGCGCGGCTCAGGTGCGCTTCTCCCGGCTGGCAGCGCGCTCAGGCTGTCGTGGGCGCCTGTGAGGGCGGCCCTGCGTCGCTGGCCGGCGGTGAGCGCCCTTCTGTTGGTCTCTTTGTAACTTTCTCTAAAATGGGGCGGTGTTGGGGCCCGTGGGCTGTTCCCGCGTCTCCTCAGCGACGCCTGTCTCGCGGGGGCCTGAGGGAGCTTTAGGCCCCGCGACAGCTGCGATCGCGGTAGTCTGCAGGGCACCGGGGTGGGCGACGTGGAGACCCCTGCCCGGGTAGGGGGCTCTGCCCACGGGACCCGTGACCCCGGACGGTCGAGAGCGCACCTGAGCCGCGCGGCGCCCAGCCCCAGCGGGACCGCCGCTCGCCCCGCTCCCTGCCCCGCGCTCCTGCTTCGGACGGCGCTTCCAGGTGGGCTCTGAGCTTTGGGGAAAGAGAAGCGAATTTCCTTTCCCTGGAGGGGTCTGATGAGAACAGCTTTGCAGGAGGTTTTTAGCTGTGATGTTTCTGAAACTTTGTGAAGCGGCGAAAGGATGTTAGAAGTGGCACTTTCCTGTGGTGGTTGCAAACCACAGTCTATCTAGCTGGGTTTTATTTCTGACTTCTACTCCTTCCAGGCTTTCCTTTACAATGGTTTTCTTTACAGGAAGATAAGTGGGTGAACTGTGGGCTCTATTACACACCGATAGACGTCTGGGTATAGACAAGGTAGATGCCAAGCCAAAAGCACTGATTCCTTTAGCGTATTTAAAATATAGCAAATAAAAGGATTGCCTTTGTAATTAAAATATTATTCTGGTTCTCCCTGTAGATAGACAGTCAATAGAAATTTCTTTTCCCTGATTAATATTGTAAAACATAGCCTGAAAAACATTGAGAATCAGCAATAGCAACAAAATCCTATTTACCAGTTTCATATTTTGATGTGTAACTTCAGCATGGTTAAAAATTGCTTTTTCTGGAAGGAGGGGATAATGTTGCTTGCATTTGAGAGCTGAGATGGAGGAGATTTGCTTTTTATCATCTTTTTTGTATTTTGTAGTTTTTGCTCATGAATATGAGTTACCTTGATAACTAAGGAAGAGGCCATAATAGAAATTTATTCTTTTTTACCTCTTCATGCAAAATCTATGTCTTGTATTTTATTGACTTCATTTGAATTATAACTGTGCATTCACGAATAAAACTAATATTGAGAGATCAATTCAGGTTGAGAGAAAATGAGTTTGAATTTCTGGCAGGACATCTGGCAGAGCTGTCTAGTTGTTATATACTAATAGATATATTGGTATCAGGTTTTCTGAAGTCAAGATCAGACTTATAGATGTTGGCAGCAGAAGTGGATTTGTGGTAGTTAATCCTCTAAGGGCGTAAAAAATCATTTAAGTAAGTTTAGTTTAACAAGAGGGCAAGATCAAGGATGGGGAACACCAGCATGAAGCGATGGGTAGAGGCGGCCAGGGAGTCAGAGGAGGAGCATCAGGAAAGGAGGAAATCTAGGAGGCAGTGGTGTCAGAAAAGCCAGGAGAGGAGACTTTTAACTAGGAGAGAAGTCTATCTGGGAGTCGAGAACTGATTAAGTACCTATTGGCTTTGGAAGTTAGGAGGGGGGCATTAACCTCAGCAGATATAATTTAAGTACAATATAGGGGTAGAAGCCAAATTTCAATGACTCTGAGGAGTGATTCTACTCTCACAAGTAAATGTAGTGAGTTTAGAAACTGTATTTTGAGAAACAGAGGTTAGGAGGAGAGTTGGACTAAATCGGAATTTGTGAGATGATTTAAAAAAAGAAAAAAGGAGAGACAAAAGGATGATAGACTAGCCATAATAATTACAAATTTTAAAAATGAAGTGCATCATTTCATAACATTATTCCTCTTTCATGGTTAAGTAGCAGAGGCTGAGAGCAAGAAGCTGAGCATATTGAAAATAACTATTTGTGATAAAGTAGTTATGCCCTGCCCCATCCAAATTATGAACAGTATTTTAGTGGTATTGTGCCTGGTGTATTGGGTTCAGGTGTTATTGGTGTTTAAATCACACATATAAACTGTGTTGGACTCTATTTCACATGAGTTCCAGTACGTTGATACTCCCAACTTGCTTTTAAGTTATGTGGTCCTTTTATGTATGTCCCAATGATTCTTCTAAAAATCTTATGTAGAAATCAGGTGTTTGGACTAAATCAGCATTTGTGAGGCATACATCATTTAGGGCCTTTGCTTCCATTATTATTATGCATTCAAGGGAAAATGCTCTTAGATTAAAATTTCTGTATAATGAGTTCAACTTCAGTCTTCATTGAAAGTTTGATTTTTTTTTGTTGCTCAAGAGTTCAGATTGTTTTTATAAGTATTTTCCTTAGGAATATAAAAAGCATGGTTAAAATGGAAAAAGCTGACAACCCTGTCGATTAGGATGTGGAGCAACTGGAAGTCTCATAATCTGCGAGTGGAAGTGTAAATTGGTGTAATTATTTTGGAAAACTTTTTGGCATTGTCTACTAAAGACATACGCATAAGCTATGCGCAAACATATACCCAACAAAATTCTAGAAAATGCACACTAATGTGATGGAAAACACATCTGTGGTTACTTGGGAGTAGGGGAAAGAGAAAGTAAGGAGGGATGGATTAAAAAGGGGTATGAAGAAACTTTGAGGGGATGATGGATATATTCATTTTCTTGAGGCAATGATGTTTCCACTAGTGTGTGTGTGTGTGTGTGTGTGTGTGTCTGACTCATTTAATTATAATTTTAATATGTGAAATTTATTGTAGGTAAATTATACTTCAATAAACCTTTGAAACAGATTAAATAAAAAAGAATAGAAGAAAGACACATCATTTAAGTATGTTTACCTCCTTCAAATACTATAGTTATCTCAGGGTAATATAATTATGAATAAGTTTTATTTTACTCATATAGTTTTCTGAATTTTTAATGTTTTGTACTACAACCATGTATTTACTTCTTAAATGATAAATTATTTCATATGTGCAAAACAGTACTTTGACACATCTACAAATTCAGAGAATACAAATAAATACCCCCGTGCCTATATATTTTATTGTTAAGAAATAATACATAACCAACATTTTTGAAGCCAGCCTGTGTGTTCTCCCTGATTATATCTTTCTCTTTCCACACTCCTTGATTTTCTATATGGTTTTACCACATATCTATGCATTGCAAACACTGTATTGTTTGGTCCACTTTAGAATGCTGTATAAATGATATTCTAGTATGTGTTTCCTGTGGCTTTGCGTTTGCACATTCTATTTGTGAGATTCCTTCATGCTGATGTGTATTATAGTTTGTTCACTTTTTATTTCTGTATATCATTTCATTGTGTGACTTTACCACTGTTTATCCATTATCCTGTGGATGGATATTTAGGATGTTTTCAGTCATCTTTTTTTTTTTCTTTTAAATTTAAGTTTTACTTTTTTCCATTAAAATCTATTTTTAAATGACCCTTCTAATGTATGTCTCTTTGTGTTCATGATTTTAAACACCCTCAGTTTTGCTGGAAAATATTGAATTGTTTTATAAAGTGGCTGTACCAGTTTATACCCTCACAAGCAGGATATAAGTATTCACTTTGTTCTCTTTTTCAACATTTAAGACATTTCTACATTCGTAATTACCTGAAGTTTTTATTTGACAATCTGATGAGTGAGAGATGATATCCCATTGGGGGTTTAATTTAAATTTCCTTAATTACTGATGATGTTGAACCTTTCTTAGTTTGTCTTCTGTGGTTGTCTCTTTATGTCTTTTGCCATGTATTATTATTATTATTTTACTTTAAAAAATTGATTGAAAAAAATTTTTTTTGAGACAGAGTTTCACTCTTGTTGCCCAGGCTGGAGTGCAGTGGCACGATCTCAGCTTACTGCAACCTCCACCTCCCACAACTTCCACCTCCCAGGTTCAAGCAGTTCTCCTATCTCAGCCTCCTGAGTAGCTGGGATTACAGGTGCGCACCACTGTGCCCGGCTAATTTTTTGTATTTTTAGTAGTGATGGATTTTCATATGTTGGCCATGCTTGTCTCGAACTCCTGACCTCAGATGATCCATCTGCCTTGGCCTCCCAAAGTGCTGGGATTACAGACGTGAGCCACCGCACCCAGCCTAAAAAATGGATTTCTATAATAGAAGCTCTGTATATATTCTGGGTGTGAATCTCTTGTCCTTTATGCATGTGGCACTTTTTTTTTTCTCTAGGTGAGCAGCCTGTCTTTTACTTTCTTTATAGTGTATTTTGATGACCACATTTTATAGTCGAATATAGTTGACTATGTCAACTTTTTCAGCACTTTGGAAGGCTGAGGCGGGTGGATCACGAAGTCAGGAGTTCAAGACCAGCCTGGCCAAGATGGTGAAATCCCGTCTCTACTAAATATACAAAAATTAGCTGGGCACTGTGACGGATGCCTGTAATCCCAGCTAGTTGGGAGGCTGAGGCAGAGAATTACTTGAACCAAGGAGGCAGAGGTTGCAGTGAGCAAAGATTGTGCCATTGCACTCCAGCCTGGGCAACAGAGCGAGACTCCATCTAAATATATATATATGGTCTGATATTTTCTGCTAAAAGCAGGGGGTATATGGGAAATCTCTGTACCTTCTCAATTTTACTGTGATTCTAAAACTACTCTAAAATACAAAGTTTGTTTAAAAAGTTGCCTTTCATATTTGTGCCCTTAATCCACGTAGAACTGATTTTTGTGTGGTGCGAAATATGGGTTCAGTTTCTTTTTTTTTTTTTCCATATGGCTAATCAGTTTTTCCCAGCATTGTAGAACTGAATATTCTGTTTTTCATTCTGGAGATCTACAAGTATCACAGATCAAGTTTCCATATATGTGTAGTTGTTTCCAGGCTACTCTTTCTAAAACAGATCTCTTTGTGTATCCTTACC